TGATCTAAAATCCAGATTAGAGGGTCTAAATAATAGATGACAACTGGCGTGAACAAGACTAACTCACCATATGTCGGCCTAGCCGGGTCAAATACATAGAACTGAATCTTAAATCATAAATGTCTTTTATTTAATATAGGGCCTGTTTTTTTTGTCGGTCAAGGTTATCAAGATATACAAGTTCCAACTGATTTCGTTTTAAGTGTTTAAATTCAACGTTCATTTCGACCGTTAACGGTCATCCATTCAAATGTTTGAACTTCGGCCTTCCGAACGATGTTAATGTGCAACACGTACAAATTCAAACGGTCACGTACAATAACGTATACACTAACTCCTAACAAATGTCAAATAATCTACAACCAGTTTCTATGGTAGAAATACTATGTTATAATATATGACCACATGAAAGCATATAATCTAATATACCCATAAAATTGGACACACACGCGCGCGCGAGCGGCTGAATTGATAAATATAACGGAACAATTTCAATTTTCAAACGATAATTCTGTTAACCCTATCCCCGCTTTGCTGGGCATTATGAGGTCGTAAAGGTCAAAACGTAGGCACCATAATGCCGACGTGCCTGTACTTGGAGATCTAGATAATAGTCCACATCCTCTTCATGGTGGATAGTGGGAATGGTACAATTCCGGAAAGACTAATTCGATCAAGATTATCGATTTTTTGCTTAAGCAGCCATCCAGGGAAGATAGAGATCAGGGAAGAGTAACCGCCGTGTAAACGGTAGTTGAACCTTCGCCACCAAAACATGCATCGTGCAGCTAACAACTGATGTAACGGCGCCGTATAAAGTCCAATAACGTTAACATGGGGCATTGATATGGGGTTACAAATACATTACTGCTTACTGATGTTTCTAAATTCTAGGAGGGCCAGTATAAATTTAAGGTGGCAATAGGGATTCGGCACACATTTGTTTTTATATGTGGGAAATAATGATGCAAACATGTAAGGTCATTTACATTAAGGTTTTGTTCTCGAGAATATTTTCAGTTTTGTGCCCTTAAAAAATTGTCGAACTCTTATGTTTGTAATATCTTTGAAGGGTTGGGGGTTAAAGTTCCCTACACAAAGTTTAGATAGACCTTGAAAACTCTTCAATAATGAGAAAGTAACAATATGGCCATGTTGGTTTGAATATATGGATAACATCCTCTGGGAACCCCAAAACTGATGCGAGCATGCGAATAAAAAAAAAGGTTTGGCAAAAAAAGTTGCCTTTATTATGAAATCTATGTGGCCATGAAGGTTGAACAAATGACTAAACACACAGAGTATCGTATGGCGAGTGATAGACTCTTCATTTTCATTTCTTCGCATTTTCTTGATTTTGTACGATATAAGTATCGTTTTCCAAACTTTATTGCTATTTACGGTATAATCCTTATTTTGCAGCTGCTTTGTATGATTTCCATTGTGGCCGAGAACTTTTTTGAAAACGGACGGAAATATATGCGAGCACGGATGTTATCCATGTATAATCAAATCAACATGGTCTAAACCTACGTGAATGGCAATTTTCTCGCCAAATTTGTTATGATGCCTCTTATAGCCAAAATGTCTACCCGTTTTTTTTCTAGCTCTAGATAGCAGTAGAATTATCCAGTCTAAATCCCCGTCGTTACACATCTATCACCAATTATCCGTACTTATCCCGTAAGGTCCCATGTGGCGATGGTTAATGTGGCCATCATTTTTATCTGCAGTCCGACCCTGAACCACCCGGTGAAACATCACGGTAATGCACTAATCGTGTTATTATTCCAGCGGCAGGGCCTATAATCCGGCCTTCAATTGAGGCCCACTTTTGGGAGGGCTACAAAGTTTTCGACCAAACTGTAAATCATACAAAGCATCTGCAAAATGAGCAAACATATGCCGTAAATTGCAAAATAAAAAAATAAATTGAAAAAGGATACTAAAAAAACAATGCTAATGTAGAATGACAAAATCCATTCCAAAGGAAAAGAAGAAAATGTGAGGAAATGAAAATGAAGAGTCTATTATTTGCCATACCATACTCTGTTTAGTCATTTGTTCAACTTTTATGATCACATAGATTTCATAATGAATTCGAAGGCAACTTTTTTTTGCCAAACTTTTTTTATTCGTACGCTCGCATCAGTTTTGGGGTTCTCAGAGGATGTTATCCATATGTTCAAATCAACATGGCCTAACCTATGCATGTGGAAGTTGAAGAAGAGAGAAAATATTTCTCTGATCTTATAAAAGCATATTGTCACAAAGTAGTGAGTGTCCAGAACTATCTGGGCTTTCGCGATCACGCCAAAAGTTTTGTCCACTTTTGTATGCAGTCAGCAACCTTCACCTAACTACGTCTAGAACTACATGCATAGGGAAGAATACAGATGTACACATTTGTACGCTGTAATTACATTCCAATGCATTACGCATAGTTACGGGCACCAGACTAATATTAAGGCTAGACGTTCTGTTTAAGGGCAAAACGACTCATCACTGAACAAGACAGGGTAAACCCTTAATTGGGGGCCGAGGGGGTCATTTGACAAACCTGTGCTGCCAACCTACTTGACTTCTGATGCATAATTTTCAATCTTGAAAGTTTGAAGGATAGACCTCTGACAGTGTAACTTTGTAGAGATATTCAAATTATCAAATGCTTTCGTAAGATCTTCGATTTCCTTTGGGTATCTATTAATTGTAAAGTAAAATTGAAATTATAAGAAAACACAGGGGACAACTATCAAAGTATGGCAGACACAAGGTAAAAAAAATCCTGAAAACATTACAATCAACATTGATTTATTTAAAAAGTCTAATACATGTGACCATAAATCACCATATACACATTGCATAGTAAATGTACACGTTCAAATCAAAGGCATCACACGGTTTTGGAATAGTCCATTTGAACATTTGTTGTTACCAAAGAAAGGTGACAAAAATGACAAAAACAAAATACTTTGAGATCTATATTGAAGAAATTAGCTTAAGATAAAAGAGAAGTTTTTAAGGCACAAATTCAACGAAACAGATTATTGAGAGTTAAAGTACAGAATAGAGGGTTTAAAAACTGAAGGCAACTCTAGTTTATCCAATGGACTACCCAAAACCCACAATCTAGACTTCTAGTAACACCTATATCTGATTTATGTAACAAATTATAAAAAAAAAAAACTATTTCTAGAGTTGATTAAATGATCAACTGTATCACTATTGGTCATATACAAATGTACACTCCCAAACCTTTCAAATATCACACCACATTTCCAAATTACACAAAATAGATTATAGCACCCCTACAAACATCACATGGAATGTTCTGATGCACTCCTTTTAGATTATACCTCATTTAGACTGTTCCATTCTGTCACGAAATAAAGGGGTGATCAGGCCACACTTATCATATGTACAGTTTGTCTGACACCAAATCCTTGTACTTGTATTATCTTATATTTTAACCCTCCAACCTAAACTTTTCTACAGTTTATACTTTAACCAGGGTTAAAGAGACAAGACCAAATATAAGCAAATAGACAAGAACTTAGTAGGTAAGAACAATTATGTAAAAGTAAAACAGACAGAATTTGATCACAACATGGTATGATTATTTACAGTTCAGATCTATATATAAAAGTCTGTAACAATTATATGCAGCATAAGAAGGGGGATATATTTTACAGAAGATATGAATTACTGCAATGTAAGTCTTAGGATGAAAGGAGAGATGTGATTGGATCTCCCAACAGGCATACAGTCACAGAGACCAATGGCATTACAGGTTGCAGGTTCCTGGATATACTTGCAAAACATTATAAAGATAGAATTTACTAGAATATGATACAACAATTACTGGATTAAAGTAAAAATCTATACAGAATGTATGTTTATGATTAAACAAATTTTTAAGTCAAGAGCATGGTACACTATTACAGTGATTGTCAAGCACAAAAATATACATTACAATTACATGCATAGAAAATAGGAGTACATGTTTTGATTTTTTTAATAATGTCAATTTACCACTTTTTTCAATGCCCTTCTATATATTGTCTAACTTCCACATACCATTCTGTGTTCCTCTAACACTTAATAGTTACACATATCCATTCTTTTCTGTTCTAGCATGGAGGTAGAGCCTCTATGGTTCTAGATGTCTTTGCTATTTCACTAACATTTCGGTTGCCAATTTGAAAAGAATATGTTCATTGCAAAAGTTTTCTGCAAAGCCAAAGGAATCCACTCTTTTGGGATTCTGTGCTTTTTTGTGTTTTTTTAACTGTCCTTTAGTGTAGATGAAACTAGAAGGCATTAGAAATGTAACAGTTGTGGTATTTAAAAGCACACACTGTATTAATATTATGTAGTATAGTGGGTGAACAAATTACATGTACATTTTGTACATCCAACCATTATGTAGAGATTTAGCATTTTGCATATTGCAAAAATGTATTTCCAATGCAAGTGCCCAAACACAGTGATATGCAATAGTCCTTTGCCAATCATGATCTCATTAAATCTCTAAATAAACCTTGATTAAATACAGTTCATATCTTAGATCTATCAAATACTGATTTGCATGAAAAACCCTGTTTACATTATAGCAACCAGCCAGTTTTACCTTGTCAAGTGCTTGTTTGTAATTTTCAACTTCCCCTAAAAAGGCAGTGTTTTCATAAAAAAGGCTGTTAAACTACACAATTTTTTCAGCTCTGTCAGCATAAGCCTAAATAGTATTCAAGGATAAGAAAACAGAACAGATTGTTATCATGCTTTACATCTGCACCAAATGTCAAATTGCCTATGGCTATTTCTGTTACAACAAATTTTGTCTGAAAGATTCTCATGATTTTAGCTTATATATAAAAAGTATATGCTCCAAATATAATTTCTACATTATTCTCAAACTTAAGTTTCTTCTGGCTTGATTTTCAATTGCAAAAAAATAATACGGAGGTTCTGTGATCATTTTTTGTCAGCAGGCCTTATCTGTGACCTCTTCAACTCGCAATCAATTAATACATAATCTTTTAGTACGATCTGTAGTCAGCATATTTTAGTCCTCAGTGTATAGACTATATTCACATCATTTGTCAATTTTAGTCAGGGTTGGAATGTTATTTGGGGCTACGACACTACAGTTTGTGTCTACAAATCCCCAAAACAGAGGCACTGGTTGTCACTTTGGGACAATTTTAGGGGGGAGGGGGGCGAAAATATAGCAGAATTCTCCACTTCAAGGTGCCCTCTAGACTGCTTGCAGGTCAAGTCTGTAAAAAAACGCAGTTTTGTTCTCTGAATGACACTTAGGGACCAGGGAAAATATTTGGGGTAGGAAAGCATACATGTAGTGGTAAAAGTTGTGACAATGGTTGTTTGTTGTCTATGCTACATAGCCCAGGGCCTGTCACCATTACTCATTAGTGTTCAGTACCCTTCACCAAACCTTTGTCTCCGAACCCAGTAAGCCATGAACACACTACATGTATATGTTATGTACCATTGAACATCAACAACTCATAAACTTTGATCTATTAAACTTTGATCTGTGGCCAACTGATTTCTATCGTATCAGAAATGTCTTGAACAAGAGATCACAATAAATTATCAATACACGGCTCTCATTAAGATGATATCTAATCTAATACCAGCATCATGAAGTCTTTTTAGAACTGAAAGTTACATTGGGTTATAAAGGTAGGGAGGGGGGGGGGGTCGAAAACCACCAGACAGCTGGTCATAATTCACTGGTCACTTCAAAGACTGGTCAGTTATTGTAGTGCTCTCCAATTTTAAATTTTGATTTGTTCAAACCTTGATAAAAGTATGATGAAATTTGGTATCACAGCGCAAGGTCATTCGCTATAGCCAGAGCAAAACCACTGAGAAATAGGATTTTATTCATGAAGTTTCAGTACATATGTAACTTGTTTGTGACTTATCATAAGTATGTGTTGCTTCAATCAAAGAAAAATTATTTGCATAGAAAAAATAAAAAATGCAACTGTCATAAATTATGTAAATTATGGTATATACTTTTATATTTGGTACATAATAACTTTTCCAGGTTGGAAGTGACCAGTGTTGAAAACAAGTTTAATACCTTTTATTAGGCTTTGGCTTGGTTATGGAAGCGTATTCTGTTTTGTCATCAGGGGCCAGGGTATGGGGCACAGTCGATCGTGGTGGTTTGCTCGGGCGGATCTGAGCGTACTCAGTCGGCGAATCGTCGGGTGTGGCGACGTACGGCTTACGGGAGCCGGCGGGCGCGTTCTTAAGGTCCAGTTCTGCGTACATCACTTCCGGCTGGTTCTACATGATAAAAATGATATTGTTATTCATAAGAAATAAGGTAAATGCACTGCAAATGTTGTTATGTTTGCAGAGGATTTTCATTTTCATCGCAACCTTTTTACCAAAAAATTATGTCACTGCAAAGGTGCATTTCCAATGTATTAATACCATACTACAAAACTGTTTCAAGGGGGGATGAACAATGCATTTCCCTACTACCACAGAATTAGGATTCAGCAAAATAAATGAATTTACAGGACATTTGCTGTGTGCCATATTTTTCATGTACATGTATTGTTTGTTTGACCTTATTGAGTCATAAATTTTGTCTAATATTTTCTACTATTTGCATATGCATGTTACGATTAACCACACAGAATTTTTAACAAATTGTCAATAACACAACTGCAAAAGTATGCTCTAAAACATTTTAAAAAGACAACATGACTACTGTTTATTTTCACTCAGTTAAGTCATGTAATAATAATTAGACAACTAGATATTTGAAATTTGCATTCAGAAATGAAGACAAAGGTAATGTGTTGCATTGTGGCTTTGCTAGAAAAGACAAAACAACACAAAACACATGCATGTCATTAAAAACAAAAACAGTGTCAACAGGTGGCAGAGTTGTCTCAGTGTTACGACACTTAAGAGTTATGTACTACGTGGTGTGATCAGCCGTGGACCTACCAAACAGGTTTGACAAGGTACATAATTTTTAACCCCAATAACACCAACACATTGTTCCACATGGATTCACATGTAGGTGTGATATACATCACATATGGACAGTTGTAGAGATAATGGTTTGGTTGCTAAGAAGGTAAAATGAATCATTCATTTTTACAGTTGCAGACATTACAAGAAGGAAAAAAAACACAAATTTATTCTTCACTCGCAACTTGAATACCAAACCATAATAGTATAATAATTTTGACCTATAGACTAGGTATCTGCTGATATGATATTTTTTATGGCAGGAGTAGTTGTAATAAAAAAACTCATTTCTTTTTATGACAGTTCCTCTATTTATTCTATGCAGTGATCAACTGAAGATTGTGACTTCTGTTTTGTGTATATTTTTTTGGGCAAAAATAAACAGAGTGTTTTGTTAATGTTTACTTGGGAGTGAGACAAGTTTTGGTTTTACTTTCATCTAATCTAGACAGAACAACTGTAGCGTATTTTAGATGCAGATGAAGCAAACAGAACAATTAAAGAATAATAAATGATAAACAGAAAAAAATGCAAAAGTTCACCTTTGGCAACAAGACATGAGCTTCAGGCACAGCTAAAGCAAATTAAAAGTAAAATCATAATAAAGCGGTAGATTTTTCTACATTTTCCAAATCGCATAACTCTTACATGGTTTTAACAATCTCTACCATATTGATTTAACATTTTGACAAACAGTATTTTCGTTAAAGAAAAAAAAATGGAACATGCAGTTCTGTGCGTTCTAATTCCAGATTTGTTTAGGATAACCAAATGGACTATGGCTTGATAAATATTTTAGTAGCCGATAACATAAATTCTTGTACCTCTAAAGTATTCATGCAAATTGACTGATAATTTACAGTGCCCCATACCTTCCTTCCTCTGTAAGGGTTGCATGACATAAAGCCAAATTTAGTCAAATGCAAAAATTCTAAATAAGGCCAGACCAATTTAATTTCTTGGTTAACGGATTTGCCCGCTTCATTTTTTTCTGATTTGTAAATAAAAATAAAAATTCAGAATCAACTGCAAAATGCTCATATTTTGCCCTGAACAGTGTAAAACAGTCCTTTTCTTCCTAGTCGTTACAGTTATTCCATCTTTCAATGCAATGGTATCATTAAAAGTTAAAAATTCATTGTTTAAATTTTGAACCAGCCTGGTGTGTTGACTTCATGGCTCCTATCGTACCATTTTGGGCCATAATAGGATGCCTAGGCCTGTTTTTATTTTTATTTTTTTTCACCCGCCCGCTCCATTATTTTTCTAGAAAAATCCGTTAACCAAGAAATTAAATTGGTGTGGTCTAAGCTATAAAAAACACTGCAATATTTTTTTTGGTGAGCATGACTGCTGACACTACAGTGAGTCGAGTGAACCTCTAAAGGGAAGAATATAAATATTTTACAGCCACATGCTGACTTTGGGTCAAGTCTAAAGGCTCACATGGTTAATGATTTAGCATAGATGACCTGTAAGATGGCCTTGTGCAAGCAAAGGGAACTGCAAGCAAAGAACGGAAATTTATGGTCTTGTTTTGCCTATGCTTTGCCAGCCTTTTGAAGGCAAGAGTTGCAAAAGAAAAGGAAAAACAATTGAGAGGAACAAAAATTGTGCAAGCAAGCATGTCTTCTGCATTCACTCACAACTCTTGTATGTCACTATGTGTGTACAAAATATAAAATTATATCTTTTGACTGCTCTTTCCTTAAATGATCACATGTACATCAAATGAGTATGGAGAAAAATTGTTTAAAAAAACACACGAAAATTCTACCCCAAAACACATTCTACAAACTAGCAATATGCTTCAAGAAATAAGGTGGTCTCAAGAAATAAGAAAACGTAGAACTTACCGGTGGTGGGCGTGACATGTTCTCAGGAGCCCCGGGATGGCCAGCTGCATGGTAGGTTACCTCGTCATTTCCACTTTCAACTGAAGGGTACAACATACACAAACTTAATATGCCAAAACAACAAGTCAGTGGAAACATACTGTATGTTGATATCCATATACTCAAATCAGAGTCAATGTGTGAAGGGAACTCCTGAAATTTTGTTATTTTTCTTTTTTTTGGGGGGGGGGGCTGCGAAAAACTGTTGTAAATATATCCAAATGCTTCATTTTTGTAGACCATTTGAGTCTTAAAAAAGTCAAATGTGGCAACTACATGTAGATACAACCTTTCAATATGTAGTGGAACAGATAGTAAAGACAGAATGAGAAAATTTCTCAACGGAAAATTGACCTACAATCTATTCTGTACATATTCATTACAACTTTATCACTACAATAATTATTGCCAAAAATATGCTTACTCAGATATTATTAGTCAAGATCATGTTATATTTTGTCAGGTGGCACTTCATGATGGATGGAAAGTGGTGATAACTAAATTATTCATGACTGTACCAACACCGACTTATGGTAGTCGTGATCAGTGTTCCTAATTTGGGCACTTAGTTCATGTCAGTTACATGTACGTGGCCACATTCACTGTTGACCACTGAATGTGTAGTGTTTGTAAGCAGGCTGTGACAGAACTAAAAGCCAACAAGGATCTACAACAGTGAGTCATTTCCAAGAAAATCAGCTGAATTTTGTACAACACATACATGTCCAAGACTGTCCCGTGACTGCCCTCACTTAGCGATCATTCGCATGACAAATGCATGTAAACAGGCCCCTGTCCAATGGCGCAGCTTTTAAGATTTAAGTTGTTTTGCAAACATTACAAGTAAAATGTTTCCAAAATATACTGCAAATGGCTTCCTTTTGACGGGACTGTATCATATTCAGTGCTTTTGCTGAACATTACAATTGGTAAACTGTTTCATGCGTTACATTTTTGCAAAAAAAATGTTCATTCAAAAACCATCAGACTATCTTTAGCAACTCTGAATAAAATGGAAAATTCTGGATTTTTCCAAATACAGTAAGTTCCCAGTGATAACCAAACTAAGGCACTTTTAGTTTACAGTAGAGGACTACAATAATTACACAATACATACTAGTATGTATAAGATAGTGTAACAGAGGACAGATGAGAAAATTCACTACAACTACATGTAATTATTATTAATTATTAATGTAATTAAATTATATATCAGAAAAACAAGGACAGTTTGGAGACACCTTAAGAAGCAAGGTGTGCCATCAGGTTTCAAGATTAGAAGGGAACTTTCTTCTAGATTAGCAAAATCAAAGGAAAATCTTAAGTTAAGATTCTAAATATTCATAAGAATGATTATCTAGAAGTCATTTGAAAAACCAGCTAAATACTGAAACAGAAATGCCAGCACAGATGTATAGCCAGCACTGTACATGTCCATTATATACATATCTAAATTTATTATTCTATAAAAAATTTAAAATTAATATTCTGGATATTATTGCATTACTACATATAAAACAGCTTTAGGATCATGACAAAAACTGCTGTCAAAATTTTTTAAAGTCTAATGCAATTTTTGACCTAAATACTAACAATGGACTTAAATAGTTTTGAATGATCCTGTACTGTAGCATGTCTTTGTCATGACAAATGCTATCTAAATCCAAGGTGGAAGTCAGTAATCTATTCTAAGAAACACACAGATGCTTCCTGTCCCTGGAGTTTCCCAGAATAACATTTGAGATGACTGTTCAGTTCAGTCACAGCCATGGCATGTTTCCTATACAAGCATACATGCACAACTGTAACTGTCATGTCCTCCTAAAATAAATCTATTCTAATTGAATTGCCTTCCTGGTATAGAAACTGCAAGATCTTGGAATGTGATACCAGCAATGTATACACAAAAATTATCATGAGTGCAATCTATATCTAAAAATAGGGCTTATCAAATTACCTAGAAAATCTTCAACTGAAGATAAAAATTACAGAATATTCTCTACAGTTACAAATTAAAATCATGTTTTGTTGGTAAACATGTTCTATTATTACAGTTAGAAGATATACTTTGGATTTGGGTTTGTACAATACTTCTAAAAAATATGTGTTTTGGTACATGCGACAGGCATATACAGTGCATGTACATGTACAGTGCAGCTTAAGCTTGGCATTAAGAGTAGTCGTGAGTGTTTCAGTACAAAAGGGAGAGTTTAGTTCAAACCAAACCATCAGGCAACCCTTGTTCCTTACCTCCATCTTTCTCACCCCTATCCGCGCGTTTCTTCCGAAGCACGAAGAACGCCACGGCTACCATCACACCTACGAATGCCGTTGCTCCAATGACACCGCCCACAATAGCTCCTGTATTTGCTCCTCCTGAAGTGTCAATGGTTTCTGTTAGTATCCATTGGTCCTACATAGCAATGTCTTTCATCTTAACAATGATTTCAGTCACATTTCAAGTACATGTACAACTAAAATTTGTTAATGAGATTCAAAACTTGTGTCCACCATTCTTTATCAAAATCGGAACAAAATACAGAAACTATGGTTTTTGGTAAATGTTTTTATAGTTTAAAATTGTCAAATTAAGCAAAAAAAGAATTCTAGTTCAGGAGCTACAGAAATGACATTCACCAAACAGATTTCGAGTAATAAAAATGTCTTCTTTTGCATAAGGATATTCTACATTGAAAGAGGACAGGGGACAATAATTTTGCAAATCAAACAATGATACTTTCAAATCAAGTCTGACAACAGGACATACAGTACAATCACCACCAGCACCCTATCACCAGCAAAAAAAGAAACACCACAGAAACATACAGAAAGTGCAATAATTGTGTACACCATTTTGATTTGTAGTGTTGACGAACAACACATAGTACCGTATGTACTACTTAGTAAATCAATAAGATCAGAGTTCAGTAATAATGAGAATTAGCAGAGAAGATAGTGTTAGGAAGAGGGAAGCTTTGGGATGGGCCGTTAGAAGGTCAGTAAAGGTTGTCACCTGTTTGCGGGGCGTTTGAACCATCATTAGGACCTACAAGAAACCAACATAGGTAGGTCCAGTAAGTAAATGCACTGCACACAAACTAAAAACAAAACTAAAAGCAAAACTACTGTAGACATTATGGAAGGATTATTTGAGTAAGTAAAAGCATTACTTGCAATGGTAACTGAAAGAAAACCATTATAATGAACTAAAAGAAAACTATAACAGATGACGTGAACAAGTTCTATGAGCGAGGGTGCTGCTAGTGTTAGAAGGAAGCGAAATGAGGAGATTTTGCCCTGCCTTCACCTGGTGATTTGGATGCAGAGATTGGGACGGAGGTGACAACTGAGGACAAATGAAGACAAACACACATTACCAGAAAATAGAGTCTAAAACACACAAGAGGATAACTAGAAAAATTGTCGAGGAATTTGAAAGAAAAGGTCAATGAAGATGATTTTTTTCTGAGGGGATTCATGTTTTGTGAAGGGGACACTTTGTTTTGTACACACAGTTTGATAAATCAAGAATGTAATACCTCCTGTTCGTCCTTGTGAAGTGGGAGCGACGGTCAGCTCTAGAAATAATACAAGATGGCTCCATTATTAATGTTTTTCTGTAAAAGCTGGTGTAGGTGAAGGCATTACCAGTAAGCAACAAGAGTTAAAGTGATAAAGCAGACTTGGAGACAAAGTTCAGAAGAAATGTGCAATGAAGAGTGCCAAGGATAGAAAGATAGTTCATCACAGTATAAAACTTAGATCAACCTCGCCAATGATAACATAAAGGATGTTCCAGTAAGGCTAAAAATGAGGGAGGGCAAGAGTTTTAAAATATTCTCTGAAAGCTCAAAAACAAAAACTTTTGTATTATATTTATAAGCTTTTGTGGGTACTGGTGTCATATCACCAAGGTCTTGTAGCTCTTGCCAATGCCCCATATTGTTTTTCCTGACTGAAACAACCATTTTCTTTTTTATGATGCATAAAACAAAAAAAGTCTTTTAAAGCTACAACGTATCATTTGAATAAAATCAGACACAGTTACATGTCAGGAAACGAAAAATGATAAAATGTCAGTGATCATGTCCATAGAAAACAAATCTGCACAAGGAAGCAGTATACACTGAGTCTGAGCTATTGAAAAGAGGAATGTTTGTGCAGTTAAAATCAGTACTAGTGTTTACCCTTATTTTCATGTTGTGTTGATTATGCTTCACCACAAAAATGGTTACATTCTACACTGCAGTATCACTTACCTGCTTCACTGACTGTCAACTGCACACTAGCAGTATCACTGGCATACGCATGGTAGGCTGTACACACGTATGTGCCAGTATGGTTCATAGTGAGACTGCTGATCCGCAGAGTGGCTCCTGTTGCTGTGAAACTGCTGTCTCCTTGTTTTGTCCAGTTGAAGCTGGGTGTGGGTTTGCTGTCTGCATCACAAGTGACATCAAACGTACCTCCAACATATCCCTCGACAGTTCCAGGAGGCTGTATACGCACCGAATCCAGTTCTGGAAAAAATTGTACATAATGCTTTTAAAATTGAGTCAATTCAATCAAACTCTACACTTCACTAAAACATAAATATTATTCAAATTCATCTTTTGGGAGCAAACAAAAAGCAAATGAGATCCTCTGTAGTCTGTACATTGTACAAGTACATTTCTCATCTTTAAGTTAAATGGTCAGGTCCAAAACACATTGCCACTCAAGCCTTTTTCATTTTTGAGTATCCCATTGCTTAGATGAGGTGGATAAGTTGGTTATATACATGTGTGTATATGTAGCATTCTTGGCTCTAAGCCTTGGAAGTTGCCTCAAGGTTACATTGGGTCAAAGCTTTCATCAAGGCATAAATGTGTATATTATAATTGGTGAAAAAACTATTCACAACATTTCAGCAAATAACTCATAAACTAAAAGAAATACTTACTGTATATGACAAGTTTATGTATGATCTCTGATGCTCCAGAAGCACATCTATAGTCCCCATCATCCGTCTCCCTCACTGCTGTGATGGTTGCAGTCATCAAGTCATTAGCAACTGTGAACCTGCCAGTCAGACCGGCTGCTGCGATGTTGGTCTCATCGTAAAACGGTGCTGAAGGTGACGACTGCCCGAGTGGTGTCTGAATCGCTACCAGGTACTTGATCGGAAGTACTGGATTTTTCTCCCAGTGTTTAGTGACTCCGTCATAGGGAACTCCAGTACAGGGGAGAGTTGTGGTACCACCAACAGGAAATGCTCTGGTGTCGTTGCTGACTTGGCCATAGACATCTGCATGATACATAAAAAGTACATTGAGCAATGTATTTCTAAACAATCATTCACAAATCGGAGATACATTACAACTATGTAAAGTTAGGAGCAGCTACAGTACTTATCCAAAGACAGGCCTATACTATAAAGTACAATATATCAAAACATACAGAAAAAAATAAAGGCACACAAATAGATAAAAAAACTTGTATAAATTACTATAATATCATATAATTGCTAAATGCAAGCATATTGTGTAACTTGCATGGTATTCATTTCATGTGTAGCAACACCCCACACTACAACTAAGCAACTTTTTCAACAGATATCTCAGAAGTGCATCAATCAAAACTTACAGTTACACTTAAGCTTGCTACTGATGATCACATGCAAATATTACACAAAAATATCCAAGAAATCAATATGTATATAAATTGTACTAACCTGCCAACAGTAACAGACAGAATACCAGGGTAACTATGAACCCTCTTCTGCTGAAAGCCATTGTTTTCAACCTCGAAGCAAGCTTGTCTTGATAAAATATGCCTAAAAATGAATAAAACAAAGTCCAATAAGAATCCATCCATGAAGTTTTACTTAGAACCTTAGAAACTAATATGATATCTGATTTATGTCTTTATATATAATAAAATGTATAATATTGATTATGCATGTTGAACATGTTGAAAAAAATATACTATCATCAAATCATCCAATGTAGGAATCATATCTGCTCTGCTTGGACGTGTTCCAAAATGTTATTACATGTAATTGAACTTGACATTGTCCATGATTTCACTTGACCTTTTTTTGACAACCTATAGGTACCTTGTACTAGTAGGTATTTAAATTTTAGGAGGATCCATCCACAATTTGCATGGAGTGATGCTGTCTACAGACACACCCACTCTGATATCCACAAAATCCCCACCAAGCGACCAACAAGCAGCAAAACACCATCTTGGCACAGGAAATTGACATCACAGGATTAGAACATGACACATCAAATTTTATTTTGTTATGAATCATATCAACAACATTCTCTTTTCTTGTCTTGATTGACAAAACCAAATAAAGTCTGCTTTCTTTCACAATCAACAAAGTTTAACACCATTTTGGAAGCAAACACCTACTAGTATGTGAATTTGAATTTTGGTTCAAAGAAAACTAGGTCACCACCAAAAATTGGAGAGTTTTCCTGTCTGAAGTTTGCCTTGAATAAAGTTTTATTAACTGTAAACACCCAATCATGATCATTTGGCCTGATATATATGTATAACTTGTTACACCGAATTAAAATCGGTCGAAGCAAGTAGGTTTTTGAACCTCTTCGGTCGAAGACAACTCTCTGACCAGGCTTTAATCATATGGAAGGCAGCGGGCGGACCCACCCACAACCTTTAGTAAGTTTTCAAAAATTCGAATCCGTCCTACGCTTGCCTCAAACCCTTTTCATGCCATTATAGCTGCTTCCAAATGGAATCCCATCACAACATTTTCGTAGCTTCTTTTTCGGGAAAACTAAGTCACGTGTGTTGTAGTTTTGAGTAAAGCTAGCTGGAGCAGTAGAAGAAACTGTAGTCGTAGTAGGGAAAGGTCCAAACCGACTTCCTTGTATCGTTGTAAGTTGTTGCCTTGGCACAAATCGCGATAAAGTATCACAACAACAGTTTTGTTCTTAACGAACTCATTCACACTCACATCAATAAGAAACAATCGTAATATACGTATGGTTGAAGTGGTACATACCTGAAACTTGTCTAAAACCGCGCAGCGCTCTTTGAAAATCGGCACAAAATGGCTTTGGGCTGAGCCCAGACTACTTCCGGGTGCTAGTGCGCAGGCGCCGGTAACGTATTTTTTGGCGGAGGCGGGATCTAAGGTCACGTGATGTAGGCGTGGTTTCAATAGGGTCTTTCTGGTTTTAGGAAATGCCTTGCAGGACGTGTGGTTCGAAATGTCCAAGCGGAACTGATCAGAACTACAGGTTGAAGGGACATAGACAAGTGGTTACAGGCAGTCCTGTTTGATTACGCAGCACAATGCATCAGGATCAATAATTTTCTTGACATGATGGTGGGCCGGACTCAACTGTCAAGGCAAGGCAGACCGTGGTGTGAATGAGGATAGCAGATACTATTGCTCACAACAACCATGGAGGTAGAAAAAGCCTCCACTCGCGGCAACAACGTGGGATATTGAGTGTGTTTTTGGTGTGTGTGTATGTGTGTGTCGAGAGAGAGAGAGAGAGAGAGTGTGTGTGTGTGTGTGTGTGTGTGTGTGTGTGTGTGTGTGTGTGTGTTTGTGTGTGTGGTGTTTAAGACAGCGTTGTTTATGTTCACTTCTCTATCGTGCAAAAAAAGAAAATATGAAATTGCAATTACGGGGTCGTATATGAATTCTGCACTCGTGCATTGGCATATTTCAAAAATTAACGAGGAAACACAAGGTTCCGTCCAAAATAAGGTTTCATAATTAGATAAAGCAAGCCTCTCTAGTGGTAAAATAAACATGGCACAAAATCAAACAAGAACACATTTATCAATAAAGTCTTCTAGAAAGTATTGAAGCTGCCTGCAAACAAAAATCTATACATCTGGGATTTTCCTATGAACAGGCCATGTCAACTACATAGATTTAGCATCTTTCTAAACTAGAGCAACGTCATTTCGTAAGCCATCTATTGACTAAATCTATGTCTATGATGCCAACAATTTTTTTGGCACGACATTAAGTCTCTCAAAAACACCCTCGATCAAGTTCATATATGCTCAAGCAGACTTTATCCAGGCAAGCAATTCACAATAATATATCAATTCAAATCTACATCTGAAACAGTTGTATAGAAAGGAATAAAGATTTCTTCAATAGAACTCTGGAGAGCAAGTAAAATTTAAATGATCATCGGCTTCCACATTTAACGTTATATCACAATTAAAAAAAAATTGTTTCTTAAACCATTAAATATTTTCACTTATGCGCCACTTCTATTCAAGATTTGCAACAAAGATAAAGCTATACTCGCAAGTGGTCTACATATGCATAGATACAGTTTGTCCATAATACTATGATTACCAACTGGACTCGGAAATAATCTCATACATATTGAGAAAATAAATGATTCTGTACAATATGATTGGCACATACACAGTTGTTCATTTGGTAGCCATTGAATTACCTCACGGAAAAGAAAAACAGCCAAACCGTAAGACCTCAGGGCCTCTATTTGACATGCATCAAATAATAGCTCAGTTGCTGTAATTTTACAAAAAAGTACAATGTTCACTCATAAAGCATCTGGTAGCTAGCTATAGCATATTTTTGGTTTCGTCAGGACGATCACAATCGGAATAACAATCAGGGCTACTCCAGCCAACGATCCAATCACGATCCCCACAATTGCGCCAGTACTGAGTCCCGGTTTCAAGGATGCTGCAATAAAACAAGAGTCTGTTTCAGCATAAAAACTAACTTGTGTTTATGGCTAACATGATATAATAGTCTGATAAACTGATTGATGCATATCAAACTAATTACTATTAAGTTCATTTATTATTTTATCATTATTATTATTATTACTATTATTACTATTCAGCAATAAAACTTGGCTCTATAGAGAAAAAAAGAAGCTCCTTGGGCTAAAAGCCTTTTCTACCAGAATGATTATGATGATAATGTTTTGGGAGAAAGAAGAATGTGCAACTACGACTATGACCAGAGTATCTCACCTGGGCTCACATTCAGTTGTACAGAGGCGGTTTCACTGGCGTATTGGTGGTAGGCTGTACACACGTAGGTCCCGGTGTTGTTTGTTTTCAAATCGTTGAGCCGCAGGGTGGCTCCAGTTGTCATGAAGTTGCTGTCCCCTTGTTTTGTCCAGTTGAAGCTGGCCGCAGGTTTGCTGTCTGCTGTACAGGTGAAGTCAACTGTATCTCCAACGTATCCAGTAACAGGACTTTCAGGCTGTACCGCTACTGAAAGTAGCTCTACATAAAGGAAACATGTCGATAACATCAGATAAAATCAATCTTCCGTGGCCGTCAGTAACTGATGAGTTAAAACTGGTTATTAAAAAATCCCCCAAAAGTTACAAATGCATTTGACACCACTTTGCCAAATTTTCACTTTTGTGTATCATGGGCACTTACATATAACGGAAATTATCTTCACCAGAACAAAATCACTATGATGTACCAAAATGTCACAAGAAGCCACAACCGGTACCTGTGTCTGAAAAATGTTATTACTTATTTTGATTATCATATTTTCTATGCCAGACATTAAGTATCCAAATAGGCGCTGGACAGGCAATGTAATGAAAGCCAATTCTTCATTATGTACATACTGTATGAAATCAACTGCACAGTATACGAGGAACTTCCTGAGGCACATTGGTACGCTCCGTCGTCTCCCTCCGTCACATCTGTGATTGTCACAGTCGTCAGATCGCCGCTAGCCATGAACCTGTTTGCCAGGCCCGCAGTGGCGATGTCACTGTCGTAGTAAAATGGCGGAGAAGGCGTGGTGCCCCCCAGAGGAGTCTGGATGGCGACAAGTGTGGTGGAGTCTTTGCTCCAAGATTGGCTCAGCCCATCGTAAGTCACCCCGGTACAAGTGAGGGTAACATCGTCGCCGATCCGAGCCCCTTGTTCAACTTGTCCTTGGGCTTTAATAAAAGCATGAACATCGCTAGTACATGTGGCCTGCAGCTTGTGTACCGGTACGTTTTTTTTCCAATTGACAAAAAAAAAAACTATTTTCGTACACATATATAATACAACGTTACATATGACGCACGTCACTTGAAAGACACAAACTACGTATACTAGTAATTAATTGCTCTAACGGGCCATGCCATGGGAAAATTAACCCTAGGTTAAATTAAGCTTATGCTAATGATGATCAGGTAAAACCCGAGATAATCCCACATAAACCTGTGAGGGAATGAAAGGAACACATCCACCCCCTACAATACTATTGTCAATACTGCATATTCTGAATGAAATCGTGCGGAATAAAATAACAAGGCATGGTGTACCTCGAATGGTCAAAGCAAGAATGACTGAGACGTAGTAGATGCACCTCATTATCATCTTACAGCTTGTTGCATCTCAAAGCCAAGTAAACAAATCTGAAAACAATAAATCATGTACGTACGTTATCTGAAGTACTTTCAGGTGTTGCTGTTATAATTTATAGAAGATCTAGAAGCTTTAAAAACAAGCAACAAAAAGTACAACGACTGTCGTGAACTACAGAGTAGAAATATATACGTTCAAAATACAAAATAGATGACAAAATTTTCATAACTACAACAATTAGAGTTCAAATGATCCATAAATATCATTAGTTGAGGGTATACGTAGTCGTAGGTTATAGTACATGTATATTTTCTACAACAAAGCAGTATGAAAACAAGGTTTAACGGCGTGGCACATTTCGTCACTGGGTGATCATTTTTGCTTGTGAAACTGAAAACAAACGGCAGCTTCAGACCTACAAACGCATATGGCCAGGAAATCTAATCATGACGTAATCAGAGATCCTAAAGCATTTAAGCCATTAAGGGCCGAGAATCTCAGGCAGGTGGCCCCACCCAGTTAATCAGTAACCAAATCCCGGGGCGTTATTATTTTTGAATTAGTCGCCTGAGTCATTTGACGTGGGTGTTTTCATATGGTAACCGTCAATCGTCAAACACAAGGCATTGGTTGTACACGGCAAACAAGTACGCGTTTTCACATAAGAACGATTGGGCGTAGCATGTAAATAAGGTTAATGATAATAAGAGTATGGCTGGCCTAAGGCCAGTGATACAAGATCATATATGATACATATTTTACCGACTATTTTTTTTTCAAATATGACTCGCATTCCTGTACACTGCCTGGAAAGATATGTGCAATCATACTTCACATGAAGTGTGGCTAGCTGTTTCGAATGAAACCAATCTGGCGTCTGGAGTAAGCCATTGAATACGGTCGCTTGTACCGTATCCATGGTATTTGGCGGCCGAAAGTGAGCCGTGAAAAAGTCACTTGCTCCGAAATGTCAGTAAAAAAACTTCTTGATGAAGTATGGAATAACTAGAGATGATAAAGATAAACAAACATACCTGTTTAACAGTCGTTTAGTGAGTGCCCAAAACGGAGGGTTTCCGTTAGTTACTTCCGTGTTTCGGGTGTAAACACGCATGCGTATATACTGTGTTTAATCGGACGACTCCACTATGGGACAAGGGGGTGCAAGTCAACAGACGATACACACGATAGTTTGCTTTCAAAAGAATGATCCTACTTACAAGTTTCCCGCCATAAATATAACATGTGGAAGATATAAATGTAGTAGGACAGTTTGCTCTAACATGGTCCATGTATGTGTGACGTCATTTTTTATGTTCCGTCTCGCTTGAAATGTACTTCTTCTTCTCCTTTTATACTCTGTCGAAGGTAACGTTAACGAACATTTCTACGACCACGTATTGTAGTATCACGATATCGAGAATTCAACAGTATACGCAGATACATGTCTTTATCCGTTGTAGAGAATCAGACCTGACTGTTTCTTTGCCCAGACTTGACCTGTCAACCCGGAAATAAGTTCTGATTTACTGCACAGTTCTCAGTTACCTGTCCGAAAATGTCTACCACTTGGATCCTGGCGTGCTTTTGGTGTCTTTCTCTTTGCCTAGGTAAGCAATTTCCTACTGTCTACAAACATACTAAGATGTACACGTACACGTTGGGTAGGGCATTTTGAACCCGTGAAGTACATGTATTCATAAAGCAACCAAAGAGTGTCAGTTGGCTCTAACGTTTTTCAACGTATTTGTAACAAGTTAGGATTTAGCAAAACTGTGACGTCAGCGTCAACGGACTTGTCAAAATTCATCTATTGATTGAGTATCCCGTTGTGCAGCTGTGAATGGACAAGACAGCAACGACACCAGAGCATTTCCTGTTGGTGGTACCGCTACTCTCTCCTGTGCTGAAGTACCGTACGACGGAGTGACTAAACACTGGGAGAAAAATCCAGAAATTTCAATCAAGTCCCTTGTGGCGATTCACACGCCACTGGGACAGTCGTCACCTGGAGCACCGGTTTACGATCCGACCAACATCGCAGCAGCCGGTCTGACCGGCAGGTTCACGGTTACTGAAGACTTGATGACTGCAACCATCACAGGAGTGAGGGAGACGGACGATGGGGACTATAGATGTGCTTCTGGGCCTTCACAGATCATACATAAGCTTGTCACATACAGTAAGCACCATAAGATATCATCATTATGTCACAGTAGAATTATGCCATTCTTGCAATTGTCCGTGTAAGAAGTATTCCATACAAATCGCAATATCAGCTTCGTTTGAACTTCCAGAAGTTCTGCAGATAATAATCTTCCCAGAATCCCCAACTATAATACTTTGAATAATGGCAATAAATAGAAATTAACATGGTGTAAAGTTCAGGATTTTGCATCTTTGTTCATAGTACGTCATAAACTATCCTTCCCAGAGCTGCATTCAGTGAATATACATCCTTCCGGACCTGTCACAAGGAACGTTGGAGGTACATTTAACGTTACCTGTACAGCAGATAGTAAGCCCACAGTCAACTTCAACTGGACAAAACAACAGGACAGCAGTTTCACAGCAACAGGAGCCACCCTGCAGATCAACAGCCTCACTATGAATGATACTGGCACATACGTGTGTACAGCCTACCATGCGTATGGCAGTGATACTGCTAGTGTACAGCTGACTGTCAATGAAGGTAAGTGAGCGTAGAATGTAACATTTTTGGGGGGGGGGGGCGATGGTCATTATCAGCAAAATATACGAATGAGAAATAATGATATTTAGCTCACGCCCTTTCGATGTTCAAGAAAACAAATAGCGCAGTTGAACTGTATCCACGTGCAGATTCATGATTTATATTCATTGTATTCGACGCAGGTGAATTATATGTTATACTTTCATTTATATCCGTTCCATATGTATAGATATATAATATCTATGAACCGTTTGAAATTATTTATAGGACCGAACACCGGTATCCCTTCCACTCCTTCCACTACCCCAGAAAGGCATACAGAAGGTATTCATTTTTGTTTTCCATAAGTTGTCCATATAAATCAGCAACAAATGCCATGCATATTGACTTGCCATGTTTGCAAAATTTTAATGATCCATGCCAGACTTAATTGCGCCATATTCACCCAGGGCCACTGCGAACGGCAGTGGTAAGTCACTGATGAGTGCCACCCTGGTTAATGAATACAGAAATAAATAAATAAATAAATCTTACCAGCATTGCCCCACGTAGCGAGGATGAAATTCAAAGACCATTTAATCCATTTAAGTAATTGGATCTCCCATTACATCTATGCAGCTGTGAATGGACAAGACAGCAACGACACCAGAGCATTTCCTGTTGGTGGTACCGCTACTCTCTCTTGTACTGGAGTTCCCTATGACGGAGCGACTAAACACTGGGAGAAAAATCCAGTAATTCCGATCAAGTACCTGGTGGCCATTCAAACACTACTAGGGCAGTCATCACCCGGAGCGCCGTTTTACCATGTGGAAAACATCGCAGCAGCCGGTCTGACTGGCAGGTTCACGGTTACTGAAGACTTGATGACTGCAACCATCACTGGACTGAGGGAGACGGACGATGGGGACTATAGATGTGCTTCTGGACCATCTCAGATCATACACAAGCTTGTCACATACAGTAAGCACCACAAAATATTGTATTATGTTGGTACAAATGTATGTCAATTCTAGTATATAGTATGTATATAGAATGTAGAATGTATATAATTCTAGTCAGTGTAATTGCATACAATTGTTCCATTGTTTATAACTACCGTCGACCATCTCGTTTGCCTTTCCTCTGCTTTGAATACTTTGAACAATGTAAAAATAATATCAGTCAATAAAAATGGAAGCAAACAGAAATAAATATGGTGTGAAATTAAACTAGGTGGTTCATCATTATGTTGATCAAGTGATATCAACAAGGATGCAAAATCACCTTTGATGTTAGGAAACCTATTTTAGCTACCGAGTCTCTTTCCTCTCGAATAGCTAAATTAAAGCTAAAATAGGTTTGGCGACCAAGCCAAAATCAAACGCCGAGATTTTGCATCTTTGTTGATATCACTTGACCAACATAATGATGAACCATCCTTCCCAGAGCTGCGTTCAGTGGGTATAGGACATGTCGCAACATACGTTGGAGGTGCGTTTGACGTCACTTGTACAGCAGACAGCAAACCTGCTGCCAACTTCACCTGGACAAAACAAGGGGACAGCAGCTTCACAGCGACAGGAGCCACCCTGCGGATCAACGATCTTAAAATTACCGGAGGGGGAACATACGTGTGTACAGCCTACCATGCGTATGCCAGTGATACTGCTAGTGTGCAGTTGACGGTTGACGGAGGTAAGTGATATGGGGAGAATCCTTTTATCCTTCCTTAGACTTTAAGTGATATTACTACTATTGTAATGTTTTGATCATGGCGTTCATGTGACTTATGTTCAGCATGGAAATCGAGAATGATTTAACAAAGATGAGTTTTCAATACATTTATTTATATCCGTGTTATGTTTTGGCACAGGCTTCCTCGCTAACTATTATAGTGAAGTAAAATCAGAAAAGTGAAAATGATTGTCTAACATCATTTATAGGACTGAGTTCGTCGTCCATTACCCCAGGGTGGCAAACTGAACATGCGTCAGGTAAATTTACTAGTTATCAGTCTTGATTTACTTGATTCAAGGTAAAACTACGTTAAATCAACAAATCCCGTGATTTTTTTATACTTGACATTCATTCCCATGCTAACTCACTTGCAGGCTTTAGTGCTTTTGTTTAGTCCCCTTTGTTGTCCTCTGTTGAGATTTTTCTTGATGTGTAACATTTACTGTCATTAGTTTACCATATATGTACTGCTAGTGTGCAGTTGACTGTCAATGAGGGTGATATTATTACATGTGTGGTGTGTAATATTTCATGGGGGGGGGGGTAACAAGACAGCGGTTCGAAGATTTCTTATGGTGAATGATCTAAGACTTGCATGGTTGAACTTTACCTAAATATTTTCATGTTTAAATTTGACACAGCCATTTAAGCAATTCTATAATTCCTCGATCAAAATAGCAAAATAATTGTTTCAACCCTTTATAGAGCCGAACACTGTTTCCACTACACCAGGAAGACAAACAGAAGGTATACATTCTTGCTTTTCCTCGAGTAAAATCAGCAAGGTCTTTTTTTTATTTGAGTTGGTGTTTTGTCATCAAGTCATCTGTTGAATTATCCTTTTTATGGTATACTAACATTCGGTTACTATATCCTTTCCAATTGTTACAGATTAATGCTCGGTGTGGCTGACATTATTGTTACCATGTTACTGACACTGTCATTTATGTCGCCCTCTTATAGGCCCAAATGTTACTCCAGTGTCCCAAACAGGTAAATACCATGAATTGACCTATGCAATAGCTGAAACGCTTTATTCCATTATGAACCAATAAATGATACAGTCCATTCGAAATTAACACCGTGTATGCACATGCTACATGTAGCATTTGTTTTGCAGGTGGGACTGGGTGGGACTTCAAAACTGTTGTAGTTGGATGTGCATGTTCTATCGGCGGGTTACTTGTAGGGGGCGCTGCCGTGTTCTTGTTCCAACGTTGCAGGATCCGAAAGAATGCTGCGAGGAAACAAGGTATCAAATTTGAAAATTTTGTCATCTAACACTTCTTACAAAAACTATCACTTCTATTCTAAAATATATATGTATTACATTATCATTATATAGATACTTGTTATATATATGTTGGAGCAAAAAATTATTTTTAGTATTAACGTCCATAATGTGTTTTGTTCCAACACAAGAACGAAAAAGAAACGACTCTGGTTCTTTCCACCTTCTACAGATTCAACTTACTTTACAAGAGTCGTGTGATATTACAAATGTTGAACGTCCTCAGTGACAGAATAACAGAGATTTACATCTTTCCAGATGTTGGGAACCCCGCTGATGGACTTTATGAAAACGTGGCACATCGAACGGTGGTGCCAAAACAACTAGGAAGCGGAAGTGACGAGTACGAAGTTCCCATGGAAACCATCCAACCACCAACCGCGTCAACAACCGTTCAGTCCAGTGACGACTACCAGGACCTGAGGCCTGCTGTCTACCAGAGTCTGCAGAGACACTGAATTGTGGACCAAATATGCAGACGTCGCTTTTGAGACGCGTGAAGAAGACGACTTTGATAAGTGCATTAATATTGTTTTATTAATTGCTTGATTGATGATTGCTTAAAATAACGATTGATTGATTGATTGATTGGCTGATTGATTTGGTAATCAGGATTTTTAAATTCATTTAGATTTAGATTCAGATTTATATACTGATAAAACCTGTTCTCATACTCATTCTCAGTCATTGATGAAAGGTAGTGGGTCAGAAATAACTGGCTAATTAGAGAATGTATCCAGTTGCTTATTTGTATGACGAAATGATCTATCTGAAAGTCTAAACTTCTTCGATGCTGACTTATTTGATTTGTTGACTTGGACAATGGAGAATGCCTTATCCAATAACTTTTTGACTCATTGCTATCAAATTTTATTTTGCTGCAACAACATTAGAAATTTTGTATCAGTAGACCATATTAAAGGTTACTTTGTGTGCTTTTCCTTTTGTGGATCATTCAATTGTGCCTCTTACATGTCACGTTATGAATTTTAATTTTGTCATGTTGCTTTTAGAAATATAAGCGGAGGTCTCAGTTGGGTGTGTTTGCACATGTACATAAAGGTTACTTATAAGCTTATCTATATTTTGTATACGTGGATTTGTTGTTGAGTTTGGTGTGCTCAGTGGTGTCTATAACAGTCAATGTTTTCTTTATTTCCTTTATTGTTTAAAACCATAAATACAAATACATGATACAAACATCAAGAAGACAATAATAGTCATGACGATTTGAAAATAAAACATTCTTTCACACTTTAAGTTTTTTTTTCTGCTACTGTAAGACTACGACAATTGAGTCAGATTAGAAAAAAATTGTATTCCAGAGTAAAAACATTACAGTTTGTTAACCTATTTACTTTTATGTGTCTGTTTTTTTACACTATTTGACATTGAGGATAATCGTCCAATTAAAGCAGATATGTGGATCATTTGCACATACTAATATTATATCTCACTACTATTGCACATTTTGCCCATTCACATCCCCCTACCTCTGCCGGCAATATAGGTAATGCAATGCTAGGCGTACTAAATGTTGCAAAACACGCCTAAAGCACTAAGAATTAGCCAGGTCCTTACATCTGATTGAGATTTGTTCAAAGTTAGGGGACAACATAATAATAATTCAACTTGGACTAACTTTAGTTACATCTCTGCGACTATGATTTCATGACATCAAGAGCCTCCTATGATTAAAGATAATCTCGAACTGTGGGTTTCAAAATTTCAATTAATCCCATGTTAATCATGACGCGTGGATAACAATTTTCTCGGACGGGTCCACTACGGAGCGAGGGGTGCAAGTCATCAGACGATCGATTCTCTTTTTCTGCCACCAGGACAGTAACTCGTGCAAGAAAGCAAGATACTAGCAGTTTGCACCACCATATCTCCAGAAGTATCTTTCAAAAGACCACTGGTATGTATAGAAATAGACAAGCAATCAATGTTTCAGCTGCTTTACTTATACGACGTATATTAACAGCAGACGTATGACGTCATCTTTGACAAAGTGACAAAGCTTTACAAGCACGGTCGTGATAATAGAATGATACGAATAAAATAATTACGACCACGTAGTGAAGCATACCAAAAATAACAACCAGTGGACTCATATCTGTTGTCAAAATAAAAAAATAGGCTTGTTTCTTTGTCGTACTTGACCTTTCAACCCGGAAGTAAGTTCTTGTTTTCTGTACCATCGTCCTGTTACCTGTCTGAAAATGTCTGGCACTTGGATCTTAGCGTGCTTTGTATGCCTTTCTCTAGGTAAGCATCTATTTATTGTCTACACAAATACAAAAGTAACATTACATATACACATGTAAGTATTCATGAAACAGTATAAACATCGATAAAGATTGTCAGAGCTAACAAGTTCAATTTTGTTGTTTTAAATCAGAGGTATCGATACTTCACAGTTGCTGTAAGTTGGATGCGACTTGCTTGAGAAACATTCGTAATATCAGAAAGCAAGCAACGTTGACAAAATATTCTTTAAATTGTGAATAATTCAATATAATAAGAATAATACACAAACTCCCACTGATCTTAAAGCTAAGACAGTATCGGCCACAATCCCCTGTCACTCTCTATGCTGAGTACAACACAAGTAAGTACCTTTAGAGTAGGATTGACCCTAGCCTACAGAAAAAAAGATGGGATTTTGACAGGTATAGCGGTCAGGTAAAACAAACACATGGTAAGATTGCATCGTATTACAAGTACTGAGTAACTCAGCTGAATTCAATCGCATTAGTAAAATTTTATAAATCATTAACTGGGTCTCCCGTTGTGCAGCTGTCTCTGGACAAGTCAGCAACGACACCAGAGCATTTCCTGTTGGTGGTACCGCTACTCTCCCCTGTACTGGAGTTCCCTATGACGGAGCGACTAAACACTGGGAGAAAAATCCAGTAATTCCGATCAAGTTCCTTGTGGTCATTCAGACACCACTCGGGCAGTCATCATATGGAGACCCGTTTTACGATGAGACCAACATCGAAGCAGCCGGTCTGACTGGCAGGTTCAGGGTTACTGAAGACTTGATGACTGCAACCATCACAGGAGTGAGGGCCACAGACGATGGGGACTATCGGTGTGCTTCTGGGCCTTCACAGATCATACATAAGTTTGTTGCATACAGTAAGTGTAACGTTACTAGTACAAGATATTGTTAATATGTCTCAAGGTGTAATTGTAAGAATACCTTCGCATACAATGCATTGTAACTCAAGGTTTATATCTTATTAACCGTCCACCTTCAACGGTTCGCATTTTTTCTATAAGGAATAATTTTCTTCTTACCCACACAATACCCTTGACATAAGGAAAATAACCAGAAATTAACACGAAGCAAACTGAATTCCATGCACATAGAAAATGATTCAAATCCCTTCTTCGATATGACATAACTTGATAAGATACTGTTTTCCAGAGCTGGATTCAGTGGGCATACAGCCTTCCGGACCTGTCACAGGATATGTTGGAGGTACATTTGACGTCACCTGTACAGCATCAAGAGACAGCAAACCCACACCCAGCTTCAACTGGACAAAACAAGGGGACAGCAGTTTCACAGCAACAGGAGCCACCCTGCGGATCAGCAGCCTCACTATGAACCATGCTGGCACATACGTGTGTACAGCCTACCACGCGTATGCCAGGGATACTGCAAGTGTGCAGTTGACAGTCAGTGAAGGTAAGTGATATGGGTAGAATCCTTTACAATTTTCTAGACACTTAACTGATGAGTTACCTTCTGGTAATTAATGTTACTATAATGTATTTGAGTTCATGACATGTTTTATTATGAAGAACCACCCTAACAAAGATTAACGTTTATGGTAATACATCCATCTGTATCAGACATGATACTAGTAACAGTTTATAGTTCTGTCACGTTCTGTGCTGTGAAGTGTGTTTTACTAACATTGTCATATATCGGATGTGTTGTCTTCGTGTAGGTCCGAATGTTACTCCAGTCCCGCCAACAGGTAAAAATTCATTCACTGACTTATGTAATAGTTGGAACTTAAAATTCCATACAAACCATTTGAGTATTCTCTAAATAAAACATTTGTTATTTTATGAGAATCGAATGACCGTGCCACAATTTGACATACATTTTGTACAATCCTCAAGTTGCCTTTTCATACTATTCAAGCGTTTATTTGGTGATCAATGGAGATTTTATTTCTGTGAAAGGTAGATTTTCTAAATGGAGGAGCCTACTTCATATAGAGTTTGTTTTGCAGACATGAACTATTGTTCCGGCGCTGTAGCTGGAGCTGCAGTTGGCTGTTTTTTCGGCGGGTTACTGGTAGGGGGCGCTGCAGTGTTCCTGTTTCTACGTTCCAGGACGGCAAAGAATGGCGGGAAAAAAGGTATAGAAAATGGATTTCTTTTGTCACAACTCTTACAACTTTTTTTGCCTCTACTAAAACGCATTATATTTCATAGCATAGAATATTATTTTTCGAAATATTATATTATAATCTTACATAAGCATCACTGAAGTGCTAATAACTAAACTTTTTTCCAAGAAAAAAGTAAAAAGATATTTTTGACCCTGTCCACTGCAACCTTCCTCATGTCAGCATCATTACTCACTGTTATAGAAGTCATGTGATATTACAAACTTGTTGATCAGCCATTGGTCAAAATGTCATAATCACAGTCATATCATATATAATTTCCATATCTTTCCAGACGTTGGTAACTTCGCTGACAGACAGTATGAAAATGTGCCACATCCGAATCAAAGGGTGACGTCACAACGACCCGGAAGCGGAAGTGACGAGTACGAGGTTCCCATGGAAACCATCCAGCCACCCCAGCCCAGTGACGACTATCAAGAACTGAGGCCTGCTGTCTACCAGAGTCTGCAGAAACACTGAATAGACAGATTCCGACTGTCTCTATCAGTTTTATACGATAATTATTCGTAAAAAAGGGTAATTATGGTTTCAATAGGCTGAATATTGCATCTAAAGCCTAAACGGCAGTTGTTTGTAGTTTGCTCATATACATTCGGCTTATATAAAATCTGTTATATTTCTGTATACGTGGATTTGTATGTACAATGTAGTTGATTTGAAGTGGGGACTCTGACAATTGAGTGTTGTAGAATGTTGTAGAATGGCACTTTGAATAAAACATGTTCTTTTGTAATTCAAGTCTTTCTACGGTATGTTACTTGCTGACTACATAACGTAAAGATTAACCTTCAAGAAAGTTCACTCAAAACAGTTCACTATATCATTAAACTAAGAAGCATTTTTAAGTAGCTTACTCCAAAAATTTCTTTGGCTTCATCTTTTCTATATATGTACATGTACACCCTATCCGTACCATGTACTAAACGTTACATATATATACCTAACGTTACATATAATAAATGATACTCTTATCACTGTAATAAACGTATATTACAGAAATAAGAGGTCATAATCGTGAAGAAGAAGTGGTCGGAAATTTACAAAACCCGCAATTTACCAAATACCTATAGAAAGTTGTTCATAACGACTCCTTTTTCTAATCACTCTCGCTGTCCCTACAAACGTGCAAGATGTAAGATAACAAGCCTCATTATGTATACGCTATTTGTGTTGTCAACAATCAGCTTATCTGATACGCCTAGCCTGGTTACCAAACCTATTATAGCTCCCGAGTCCTACATCCTAGCCTGGTTACCAGACCTATTTTAATAGGTTTGGTAACCAGGCTAGGATGTAGGACTCGGGAGCTATAATAGGTTTGATAACCAGGCTATGATATGCCACACTATTGTTTACAATATGTTTCACCTTTAACCTTCGACTTTGCGGCCGTGGTGGCGGAAGGCTAAAACCTGTTCTTCTTGTCGTTACTGCTGACGTCTTTGGCACAAAAACGGCTTGAAATATGGGCATTTCATCGAGCATACTTTGCTTGTACTTGTACCTCTTTACCCAGGCAATAACAGGTAAGGTCCTCTAATTTAAAGTCTAAAATATGAGTTTTCAGGTTACTTTCTAGATCAATCGTATACCTTTCCCTATCGTGTCATTTATTTGCCAAGATAACGTTAGCAAAGCAACAAAGCTCTCTTGTTTAGCAGATCAGTCAGCTAGACAATCGAGCTAAAATGGCATAAAGCAACTTGATATAGCATCAGATTACGTATAATATCTCAGTGTTTTTAAAATTTCGTTGGCATGTTTCTTTAATGATTTGAACACAAAATTGTGAAGTAATAGATATCGTTCTTGACGTGTTTTTGTGTTATTTCATGCATTAATTGAGTCCCCCTTTATGCAGATGTTTATGGACAAGTCAGCAACGACACCAGAGCATTTCCTGTTGGTGGTACCGCTGTTCTCTCCTGTACTGGAGTTCCCTATGACGGAGTGACTAAACTCTGGGAGAAAAATCCAGTAATTCCAATCAAATACCTTGTGGCGATTCAAACACCACTCGGGGCATCGTCACCTTCCGCGCCGTTTTACGATGAGACCAACATGGCAGCAGCCGGTCTGACCGGCAGGTTCACGGTTACTCCTGACTCAGTGATGACTGCAACCATCACAGGAGTGAGAGAGACAGACGATGGGGACTATAGATGTGCTTCTGGACCATCAGAAATCATACATAAGCTTGTCATATACAGTAAGTATCTGACAATACATTTGTAAATATATCGCGAGCTGTGTCGTGTAAGAATAGTACTAGTATCGCATACAAATACATTGTAACTCAAAGTGCTCTTATCTATCGCCCGTCTTTAGCTTCTCATGCTTTCTGTAAATAATTACTTCTTATAGCCCAACGCGGTACAATACATTCAACCCATTAAAATAACCAAAACGTAACCTGACGAAAACTGACGTAATCTTCACATCGAAAGGAAATGATTTGAATTTCTTCTTTAATAGCTTGAGGATACTGTTTTCCAGAGCTGAATTCAGTGAATATACAGCCTTCCGGACCTGTCACAGGATACGTCGGAGGTACATTTGACGTCACCTGTACAGCAGACAGTAAACCTGCGGCCAGCTTCAACTGGACAAAACAAGAGGACAGCAGTTTCACAGCAACAGGAGCCACCCTGCGGATCAGCAGCCTCACTATGAACCATACTGGCACATACGTGTGTACAGCCTATCATGCGTATGACAGTGATACTGCTAGTGTGCAGTTAACTGTCAATGAACTTCAAGGTAAGTGATAGGGGCAGCTGCAGAATACTTTACATTCTTATAGGCACGTAAGTGACAAGTTAACTCCAAGTGCTATTACTACTACAGTTCATGAGTTCTTTTATTATGAATATTCTCAGTGGTTGTTGTGGAACATTATGCACAATTATATACTTCTAGAAGATTTGGAATGTCAGATTTCTTGTTTCTTTTAGTTTATGTTGTGTGTGCAGTGCTTTTACTTACTCGGCCTACACATATTTTGTTTTCTTGTAGGTCAGGATGTCACAAGTGCCCCAAGAACAGGTGACAACCATTAATGGCTTTCTAACAGTAACAGTCTGTCTCTAACTACTTGTCAGCACTTGGTCAAAACAAGGACACTTCAATCTGTAATGTCCTTGGTCAAAACTATAAAAAGAAATGTATGCAGCCAGGATGTAATTCTCTTGTCATTGTTTGATTTGATTAGTGTAAACCTAACAAATCACAGTAACTCTTATAATTTTGACATTTTGAAAGAATGACCGATGTCACCTATGAATCTCACCATCAAAGTTAAGTTGTCATTACCTTGGATGTAAGACCAGTGAATACTATTATATAAACAGACACCATTGACACTTCAGGAGAACCAAATGTAGGAGGTATTGTTGGCGGCGTCATCGGAGCGCTTGCAGGCGTAGCTGTGATGGCAGCCGTGGTGTTTTTCGTGATTCGGAAGAAACGAGCAGGTGGGGATAAGAAAGACGGAGGTAAGGAACAAGAGTTGCCTGATGGTTTGTTTTGAACTAAACTCTCCCTTCTGTACTGAAACACTCACTATGGCCATGAGATCTTGCAAAACATGCAAGTTCAGCAATCAGTGCTAGAATATTAATGACCGATATTAATTCTACATTTCTAGACGTTGAGGACCTCAGTGACAGGCAGTATGAAAATGTTCCAAATCCAATGATGGCGTCACAACGACCCGGAAGTGGAAGTGACGAGTACGAAATTCCCATGGAAACCGTTCAATCACCAACCGGAAGTGCCAATGACGAGTACGAGGTTCCCATGGAAACCGTCCAGCCGCCCCAGCCCAGTGACGACTACCAGGAGCTGAGGCCCGCTGTCTACCAGAGTCTGCAACGCTGAATCGATTGATCCTAACAGTCCATCAGAATTAACCCTTCAACCAATGATTGCATGGCAGTTTGTGCTTCGGCCAATTAGAGAGTGGCTGCATGTTTGTCACATACGGGAGGTGGGCGGGGCTATTGTAGACCAAATATAGTGGAGTTAATTCATAGTTTTGACTTGTGTGAAGAAGATTTTGATAGATTGTTTGATGATCTGGTTGATTTTGTTACTTAATCACTTTTATTGTTGGACAAAGCTGAGTGATGGATGTTTGAACTAACTGCTGATAGACTTCTGTTTTTGCTGCAAGTTACAGCTTGCTACATAAGTTTGCATCTTACATATTGATGTATATTGAATGTCTTTTTCTCTTTGTTCACTCTTTCTCTTTGTTGTTATGCTTTATATCATATGAATAATAATTATTGTAGACATGGGCCATAGTGGTTATAATGGGTTATATATTGTATCTAAAGTCCAGATGACAGTTGTGTAGTTGGTTTTGCACATTTTCAACATAATTGTGTAATAATCTCAAGTTTCTGGCATTTATGGTTGGCGCTAAAACAGCCCACACGAGGCGCACTCAGCTTGTGATGTCACCAAATAAACATGGCTGACAGCTTTGTTTGAAGTCTTTAAACACACTCGTAAGGCGTCATAGTTTGGCATCTTCACTTCCTGAATGACACTTATTTCCAATGAAGTAGAGTTGATTCAACATACTTTGCAAAGAAATGACCAGAAATTTACTTTTCTTATGGCCCTAAAGTTACAGAATGCAACTTTAAACCTTGTTCTGCTGGGTTGCCTTTCGACTGTACGCGAATCTGGTAAGTCACCAAAGCCTTGTGTTCCCTGACAGCATTTTACAGACAAACCATTACAATACGTTTGACCACCACTGTAAGACCACCTGGTCATCGTGGTCACTTTTTGGTGGTTCCTTAGATCTGCCTCCCGTTGACCCAAGCATTTTAAGAATCCCTGTTCCACACTATCCCCCGTGCATGAAAGTGAAGTGTATAGTTTTGTCAACACGCATTTATCCTCCAACACGCTAATCATAACATAGGGTTAAATACACATGAATTGCCATGTACCTTTAAAGATTCCGTCAGTGATTTTTTTTAGGACATCTGATTTTGCCGGGCATTGTTGTGCTTGTTTAAACGGCGTCTGATTAAATATTGACATCTCGTACAATTAACATCCGCTCATCTTGGAAGATGATATAATAATCTTTCGATGAAAGACGGATGGGCTGTACTGTCCTACGGCCCAACGTTATCCATACTTAATTTGGGGGAGGCATCTTAGCAAAAGCCCCAGCACCACGTCAAGGTGTACCTCCATCGCTGAGGAAATTTGGGACGTCATCCCACACACAACTATCTACACAAGAACCAACCAAACAGCAGTATAGATAGTCATGCGTGGATGATCGTCATTGTTGCCGAAAATGTGTGCCAATCAGAATTAGTCAATGGCTAGATAGCCTTTTTGCGCTTTTCCATGCTACATGTCAAGCTGCATTTACTTCATTTTGCCTTATTATTCAGATGGGCTACGAAAATAGACATAACTCACCTAGCTGCCAAATATCCTGGTGCTTGAGCCGAATTCACAAAAAGCTAGTCCCAAAATGATGGCATGGAAAAGTCCAAATTCCTCTTGAACTTTAGATCAAAATATGTTCCAAACGCGAGTTGTATCCATGTGTAAAAATGCATTGCATAACGAAATGTGAAAATGCACAGTAGATTAAAATGTGTTGCAAACGTGACTGGCATCCAAATATTGAATTTGAAGATGAAAACGTGTTCCAAACGCGACTTGCATCCAAATGTTGAAGATCAAAATGTGTTCCAAACGCGACTTGCATCCAAATGTTGAAGTTCAAAATGTGTTCCAAACGCGACTTGCATCCAAATGTGAAAAACATTGAAGTTCAAAATGTGTTCCAAACGCGACTTGCATCCAAATGTAGAAGTTCAAAATGTGTTCCAAACGCGACTTGCATCCAAATGTTGAAGTGCAAAATGTGTTCCAAACGCGACTTGCATCCAAATGTTGAAGTGCAAAATGTGTTCCTAACACGACTTGCATCCAAATGTAGAAGTTCAAAATGTGTTCCAAACGCGACTTGCATCCAAATGTAGAAGTTCAAAATGTGTTCCAAACGCGACTTGCATCCAAATGTTGAAGTGCAAAATGTGTTCCTAACACGACTTGCATCCAAATGTTGAAGTTCAAAATGTGTTCCAAACGCGACTTGCATCCAAATGTTGAAGTTCAAAATGTGTTCTAAACGCGGCTTGCATCCAAATGTTGAAGTGCAAAATGTGTTCCTAACACGACTTGCATCCAAATGTAGAAGTTCAAAATGTGTTCCAAACGCGACTTGCATCCAAATGTTGAAGTGCAAAATGTGTTCCAAACGCGACTTGCATCCAAATGTTGAAGTTCAAAATGTGTTCCATACCGGAGCGCAAGCATGACGCTCAAGCACTGACACAGCAAAAATCGGGGGTGGACTGGGGAGTTGGGGGGGGGGCGTTTGGCGCTGGCTGCTCATGCATTTTACAACTTAAAAGCCAACATAACTTGCAGGTTCGCATGCTTGACTTGCTTCCATCCTTCTAGGTTCTAGTCTGGTTCAGCCAGTACTTGTAGAGCACTGCAGTCTGCTCTGCAGTGTGTTGCTGTTAAGCCTGTCAGCGCTCAAGTTGACCTGCAAGCAAGAAAACAAGTGGTAACATTAGGATTTTAAATCTAGCGCGGAGAAAATGTCATCTTTGCTTGGCTTCAATTCAAAAGTCTTGAGAATTGAAGCTCTCATCAAAGTTGGACTGCGTAAGTCTTATTAAAAAATAA